TTTTGGACGCTTTTATTAGGTTTGACTTCCAAATTCTGCTAAACGATTCTAGGGGAGAAGTTACGGACCTTCTTTGTTGGTGTGCTTAACTATTGCGGTGCGTCCCTGCCCACAATTTGCGGTTGTGATCCACTCGTGAAACCGCGTGCTTCGATGGCGCGCAGGTAGGAGAGTGGGCTCATAGCAATGCGACGACGGTTTCAATCATTGATGCATTTCTTAGTTTTGCTTTTTATTGAAACATATGCCAAACACTCGAAAAGCAGTTCTACGAACAAGTTCGACCACCGTGGCCCCTCTCTGCTTCTTATTGAGCCCTCTGAACAAATTTTGGAAAGAATTTCATTCCAACTTCACATTGAAATTGATAGCGTTGATGTGGCGGCCTTATTTCGGGCATATGCTGTGCTTAGTGCGAAACATTAAGCCCGCACATAAGATATCTTGATACAAAAGAATGCGTGCCGCATTCTACAAAGGGGTTGATCAGTGGCGAAGACCTCATCCCTTATCCTTTATATGTGCCATCCCACAATCGCAATGTTGAAGCAGGGAAAAAACCTGCTAGCTTTCGTCATACCAACGTATAATACTTCACGAAATTTGGATGAATCCTTCTGATGGGTGCTTAGTAACTGCTTGCTGAGTCGTTCGGGTGCAGATAGTTGTAATGAGTAGGAACTCTGAAAAAGGGAAAATTGAGAAATAAGGTATTAAGACAGACGGCAGATCTTAGTTCACCGCTTGCTGTGTTGTCAAGGATTTCACCTACAGTATCAGAAATCAAAACAGCTATCCCGACGAGGTACCCAGGGTTTTACCTCTGATAGAAATTGTTTTCGAGCTGACAGGTCGGACCTGATCCACCGAAGCACTGCATTAACAATCTAAAAGAGTTTGTAGCGGTCAATCAAGAATAGAATGAGCATAATGTGGTTCACAAAGCAACATTACAATATCATACAAAACTGGTCCATATACCTGCGCCATTAATCGTACACTTAGCTCTTCATTTAAAATCAGTTCAACTAGTTGGTTAACGAGAATTTCATGAGCTTTTTCCGTATTCACAGCATTCTGAAAAAAAAGAGATTTTTGCAAGCTAAGGGTCACTAACAATAAAGTAATAACTTCGAAGTTATGCAAGACATTCTCGTCGGCTTCAGGACACGAAATACTGTCGGTAACCGGTCGTACTACCAAGGAACTGGACGGCTCCAACTTTCTTTTCAGGAATTCACGACACAACTCCTACAACAGCGATGAAGGATCACAACTTTATAGTACCCTTTCTCGTGAAAATACCACAACCTCAACCTGGTCCAATTGAAACAAACGAGCAGTGGATAGAATGTTCAATACATTGGCGTTACTAATATTTATCTCTCCAGAGTAGCAGAACTTCACAAGGGCGTCAACAACAGATGCTTCCATATTACCCAAATACACTTCTTCTGAGAAAAAACAAGAGTCAATAAGAGGAATATTGCAATATTTGTGCATTTAATTGCCAGTGTATGTACTGTTTGGAGAAGATTGACCGGAAGAACATGTAAATTATAAGTTATTGAACATACGCAAGCGGTTTTCAGTCATGTCCCTGGTAAACAAGGTTTTGAAATAATTCGAAGATGCAGCCAGTACGACTCGATGGGCGCTGATTCGTTCCTCCTGAAATATGTTTCACCCGAGTATGTCAAGCTCAATATCTCAAAAAGACCACCTTGACGGCGAGAACCACGTCACACAGCTGAGAATCCTTACGAAGTTCTGCAAGCCGAGTGAACAAGAGGCGTTTGTGAATAGAGCTCTAAACTGTGTGTGAATATTGAACAAAAAAAAACATATAAGGCTTCAACACTGACAGATTTGTACGGCCGCCATATTGCGGTGTTGAGTTTTCAAACAAGTATCTCCATTAATATGTTTGTCGAGTGCTTCTCCTAACCTCGGATGTGCCCATAAATATTTTATGAGGTACCTTTCTCCATGCGTATGAGGTATGACCGTGACCGTGAATGTGACCACAGCAACAGCTTTTTCAATATTCCGCAGCTTCTCTCTTTTTGCCCTCGGCAACTAAGTCGTAAGCTCAACAGTCTTGGGCTTA